AGACATACATGGATGTCTGCTTCAAGGCCGGCAAGCCAGAAAGTTCCGAAAAATATGAGTAGAGGAAGTACAAAGTACGGTATAAGGTTACTGGCTGCATCACTGGGCGTTGAGGTTGTAGATAAAAAATGTGGCACTTATGAGGGCGGCCCTGGGAGAGCTGCCAGGGTGAGGCGGCATACCTCTACCTTCGCTCGAATGATTGCAAAGTATGTTGCAAGAGCCTTCTTTGGCCCCCACCGTGACTCCAAGGAGTACCAGCAGGGAGGAGGGCAGAGTGAAGTAACAAGGACTTCCAAACCAAAGGGTTTGGCTGCCGAAAATCCTCGGGTTCGTCGCTCAACTGCGGGCCCTTGCTTCTGTCAGGTTTCGCATTGGTCGGGTTGGATACAGGACGGTAGTTTCAACGATGACAGTGCCATCCATAAGCCGAAGTCTGCCTTGCCATTGCCAAGAGAGAATGGTCAAAGAGACCGGCGGACTGGGCTAGATTCGAAGTCCAATGCCATCCACAGCTTCGACATCCACAGACAGCCAAGCTTATTGGGTATATAAACATGTCTCTGCGTCAGGAATCCCAAGATCATTATCAATCTCAACAACACTTATCTTCAGAATACTCTCAATCAACTCCTGACGCAACATCGGGTCACCTCCAATACACAAAAGTAAGATCAGCCTCCTCACCTGCAGCAGTTCCAAGGATATGTCCTGTTTACAAACCGCCGTAATTCTAGGTTTGTCGCGATGGTCAACGTACTCAGATACGTTGTCTACGCCATCGCCGTCGTGTCCGGCGTTGAGGCCTGCAAGAGGACCTGCGACATCGCCTCCGACAAGAACGGCTACTGCTACTACAAATGCACCGATGTGTGCGACAATGTGCCGGCCTCCCAGGCCCGCAGCAAGTTCCTTGCTGACCTTCGCTCGGATGGGTACTCCTGCTCAGGCGAAGGAAGGACGGTAGTGAAGTGTAAAAAGACGGGCCACTTCGGTGACTGTAACGATCACCATTGGTCTTGCGGAAGGGGCTGCTAAGCTAACAGCGAGGCATAAATTGCGGATGGGTTCTAGGAGACATGGAATATTAAGATCAAGTCGCTCATTCAAAGCAAGCACGATATGCTATTGCCTGGAAGGCAGCAATATTCCAAAGTATTTAGTCTTCGTATGATTCCACTCTTTCATGTAGTAAATTAAGAGTTTCTCGTTATCCAGTTATCCAAACGATCGGGCTGTGTGACAACAGGCATGCTGTGACATTTAGTAAGGGTAAAGAATGAATCCCGCAGGAGCGAGTATAAGGGCCTTAGTTACCCGTGCGATGTCTGCGTATGGTCTATGTCGATCGGCCGTAAGTCCAAAGGAGTTATACGGAGGTGGGTTTGTAAATCTTACCACTGGGGGGTTAGGGTGTAACGTTCCTTGTCGAAGTGCTTTCAACCACCAACCACTTTCTTCATTAACACCATCAGACATAATGGACAGACAATTTCCCAAATATGACGACAAGATATATAAGCTTTTGTTTGCTATGAGAAGTCCCGCTTATTCCTCTTTTGACACATAAGCAGCACTCAACATCACGAAGTTAAGTGTCTGATACCAGAGTCAAAGGGGCTTTTCCATGTCTTTACCACTGTATTACCCTATGTCGACAAGGCTGTTGTCACACAGCCCGATTCTCTGGGACAGCTTAGACAAAGTGGAAGACTCTTGATTTCCTACATAAAGAGTGGAATCTCCCGAAAACTAAATACTTGTTGTAATACTGCTGCCAGGCAGCAGTATGATAATGGCTATTGCCATAATGAGCGAGTTGATCTTGACAGAGTGCATGACGTTCTCCCAGCAGACAGGTCAACCAATGACTTGGAAGTTAGGATCCGAACACAAGAGGTCCGAGATATCTAAGAAAAGCAGACATCTATAAATAAACTTGGCACGTGGGTCGAGGAGTCCATCAGTGACCATCTCTGGACGACCTGCTGCAATACTGAAGATACGATCCGCGTTTGGTACATCGGACCCAGGACGTCGGCCCTCAGCAAGGCACGCGACCGATAGCTGCGTGTGCTCCAACTGTCGGATAAGTATTGTAGCGTTGCGCGGCTGTGATCTTGTGTATTCATAACTGTCTGCCGAAATACAGGGAAAATTCCCCTCATTTATAATTAGAGAAACCTCCGTCCAGGGACGGAGGAGCCATCCCATTCCGGCGCGTGTTCTCGACGACGTCCTGTTCAACCTCAACCAAACGATCCAACTACACAACCGACGCGTATACCCCCCGCAGGCGACCTACAATATCGCGGAACAGATTAACAACTCCTACTCTCGATATTCCGAAGAACAAGTGAAGAAATGGAAGGATTCGAAAAGCAGTATTGGACGAGAGCTGGACTTGGGTACGACGCCAGCATTTGCGACCTACATTTCCCATTCTAATGCGATTTGTAGCTGCGAATGACGCAATTGAACTGCCTTCTTCGTGGCCAATTGAGAGCGACTTTGGCAAGTATCCAGAGAAAGCGCGCCAGCATGAAACCATTGTCTTGCGATTAACGCTACTAAGTGAAGAGCAGAAAGAGATTAGACTTCGTGTGGAAAAATTGCGTCGTATCAGGGACGCTGTTCAACCGCTGTCCGTTATTGACGAGAGCAGTGTTCAAGACAACCTGGTCACACGGAATGGGCCCGTGGAAGAGGGACTGGAGAGGATAAGGGCCTTGCTAGCACGAGTGACAAGTCGAGTGGCTGGTTTGCCCGACCAGCCCGCGAGCAATCGCCCACAATCTACAACAAGCTCAACCGTGGATTTGGGAAGGATGACCAAGTCTAGGAAGAGGAATATTGACAGCTTTCTCGCAGACCCCCGAGTTTTCCCGCCTTGAAAGGAAGGTTAATACCGCAAGTACGAACCGTCGTATACGAGTCGCCGGGCTATGCAGGCTATCAAACCATGAAGCATCAATGGCACCACGTATGCTGTTGATGACAGCCGCTCTACTCCTAATAAAATGCGTCAGAATACCCCACTACAGGTCCTGGGTCGTGTTGTAGCCAACTGGGCAGCCCACAAGACTCGAGAAGTGGATGGGGCTGTTATCTTGTCCGCAACACTCATATTCCTCCATCGCTGGTGGACCATTCTGACTCTTTGGAGCTAGAAATGCACTCCATGTAGTCGGTCTCATGACGGAAAACTAACTCAACAAGGCGACTTCACGCGATTGCAATGTCTCTGGTCACCTCAGCACTAAAAGATCTGGTAATTTTGCCAGAGGCGAAACTGACGCGAATGCAGTGCATTTCATTGGCACCGTAGCGTCTTCTGAAAGACCACAAACAGCTTCGCCATAGAGCAATGGGTTGGACAGCAAGGCATCTTTAAAGTGTACTTTCGGTCAAATTCTGAGTCACTGATTCACTTAAGTCTTATAAATAGGCGATGGGATTGTTAGAGCTTAATAGGAAAGAAGTGTTGGCGTCACTCAATTCATCAAGTTTATTCAAGCTGGCTAAATACATAACATGTTTATCCGTGACCCAAACGAAAGAAAACATCAGTCTGTAAGTCGTGAGTCGTGAATTCGTGAAAAAGTCATCATATACCGCCTGGTCTAAACTCGGTTGATGTCGGCGTTACCAAGTGGCACCCTAGCAACACCACGAGGAGAGGTTCTGGAGCCACCGTTGCTGGTCTGGCTCGATGCATCGGAAGACTTCTTGCCGAATTTATCTTCACCTGCAAAGTAGCTTGGGTCATTTTCATCGGTATGGGATTCATTCGCCGCCCGCTTGTAGGGAGTGGGTGGGAAGAGAAGTCGAACAGCAGGATCTTTGGCGGATTGAAGTCCAGACTGATGTTTCTTCAAAGGCGAGTTCTCTTGTGTATCGGGTGATATTGGTCTCTTTCTGTCGATTGTGATGGACCTTGATGCAACCGCTGTTTCCTGCCGGCGGAAGGAGCGGTTCGTCTGGTGGGGTTTGCGGCTGGGCGAGTTGGATCTGTGGCTGAATTAGCGAAGCTCCTTTTCAAAGCAGGCGAAAACAATTGCGATTACCGGTCTCGCTGTCTTGGCCATCGGATTTTGCGAGGTACGACCCAGATCGTCCGTCTGTAGATGGCGTGGGCAGTTGGAGAAACTGAGTGATGCTTTGTTGCTTGTATGGCGTTCGAGGGGTTTCATGAGGAGCGGTTTCACCTTGTCTACCTCGTCGAAGTACAAGTACCTTTCGCATGACCCGTCTCCCCGCTTGTATTCGCAGGCCCAGACTTAAGGGTTAGTTTTGTTCCAAGTCGACAATGGTGCGCAGTGGCAACTTACACCCTTTTGGTATCCGAACCATGCGCTTCTTGTGCCGACATGTCGGTTCGTCGTTGACAAAAGCAATACCCTGATGGCAGGCCCGTAATGGATTCTTTCGCGGGGTCAAGGTGGTCATGATGGTGGCGTGGATTGGCTGCTGAGGTGAAATTTGTCTCTCGTGAGCATAGGTGGAATGGAAGAAAAGAAGATGCACCACCTTACGCGTCAGACGCGTCGGGATGGGCACCTCCTTCTATGGTGCTAGTGACTAAGCAGGGTCAGGCTTGTGCTGTCTGACGACGTAAAATGGGAAAGCAGCATGGTGTCTGTCTGCCTTGAACAGATGTCTCTCAATTGGGCAGACAGCCTCGGACAGATTGTAGGGCAGATGTCACATCAGTGACCAACGTGGATGGGCCAAGACTTGGATGAATGGACTACTGGGGCGAGATGGGAAGTGGGCGGACGGGTGGGAGATGTGAAGTCTGACGCCACAAGACGGGCAAAAAGGACAGCAACTACCCTGTACTAGCTGCGGCAGTGGAAAATGTGCAAGACAAGCAACCTTCCCTTGTATTATTACTTTCTTGGCATTTACTGTTAAGGAAGTACTCGAAACTACTATTGATTTGCTTAACATCACATAAAACCTCATTTTCTGCGCGTCGCGCAGTTGCGGCGGCGGCGATGGCGACGGCCACCTCCAGCCCGCCTTTGTGAGCCAGATTGGCTCGATCTCGGCAACTACACACCTAAGAATTTAGCTCGGGGTGCCCGCGCAGCCCTCCTTCGAGCCAGCTCACCCGTGGAGGTCACCGACATTGGCGTTTCACCCGCACGTGGCAGGAGCGCCCAAACGCCATCTTCACCACTCACCCGCATTTGCAATGCTGCTATTGCGGAAGGACAGCAGCTCGACGATTTTCCTGCATTGCCAACACCGACCATCCAGGAGCAGCAACACCTACCCATCGACATCACGGATGCGGCCAACCAGCTTGCGGACGAACAAGTTGCCGTCTACAACGCTAAACTAAAGGTCTTCCGAACCTTCTGCGCGCACTTTAACGAGGCGGCTAAGAAATTCCCATCCGGCCCGGAACGCGACTTCGCCCAGCACTTCTCCAGCAGCTTTCTTGGCTTTTGGAAGCAGACACTCAGCAACTCCCAATCCGCTTCTGCGCCTACCTACAGCAGTGTAGCTGCCCATACCAGTTCTCCTCGCACTCCCACAGCCCCGACATACGACGCGCAGGCTTTTCACGCGCACCGCCAATCCGCACCCACACATCGCCAAGGGCAACAACCTGCGGCTCCCGCCCCACCCCGAGACGACCTCCGGGTATTCGTCCGCCTCGACGCCGACGCCCCGGCTAGGAACCATATTGGATACGCCATCCGCGCTCACGTTGCTAGCAAGACCGGTATTGAACTGAATCGAATCCCGCAAGTATTTCAAGTAAAGACTGGGTGGGCCATACGTGCCACAGACAAGCTCACACGCGACCTTCTTGTAGAGCGCCAGACAGAATGGGCTGCTGACCTCGGCGCAACAGCTGTAGAGACCAGCCAGAAATGGCACACCTACATTGTAGACAACTGCCCTCGTAGGCTCACCGACCTTTATGGGAATGAACTGAACTACGACGCTGCTGCCCGTGACGAGATCAACCATCAGACGGGACTTACGCCGGTCAGCGTTCGAGTCCCCCGTCGTGATAATGACCAACATCCATACAAAACACTTGTCATTTCCTTCTTAGAACCAACTAAAAGGCCTTGGAGCCTGTTTGGCACTAGCCGACTAGCCAGACTGATCGAAAGAACCAACCCTCCCAAGCAGTGCGAGAACTGCTGGGACTACCACACACGACATGCATGCAACAGACAAACACGATGCAAACGCTGTGGAAAGACTAACCACAACAGTGACAGCTGCACTGCCGCCGAACAATGTGCCAACTGCCTCGGACCACATATTGCGGACCTCACGACATGCCCGGCGCGGCCAAAGAGAGTTCATGGACTGCTGCAGCGTCTCCCCAAAGAACAGCGTGCGCTGATCAGACAAATGGGCTCTCAACTCTTCCAGCAACACCAGGCCGCACAACGACAGCCTCCTCAGGCGACACCTAACAACCATCCGGCACCAGAGGCCGTGGCAGAACAACAGCGTGCTCCAATGGCGGTCATGGAGCCGCCTCGGGATCATGTGAATCCTCAAGACCTGAGTAACTTCTTCACTTGCACCCTACCGGTCCTGCCGTCTTCTTCCCCGATGCGCCCCACGGCCGTGGAACTCGGACCAGAAACGGCGCCGAGACGTCCTCTGCCGACATCACCTAAGCGGCGCCGTGCTAATACCAACCCGTCCTCTCCATGAGCAGACGGCCAAGAACATACAACAATGAGAAGAAGACGTTGAAAGTCTTTCAAGCGAACGTGGGCAAGATCCCGGCCGCCCACGACTGCGCTCTAGCACTGGCCGATTCAGAAAAGCACGACATTGTTCTTCTTCAAGAACCTTGGACCGAGGCAAAGAACCCCCGATGCCTCACAAAGACACATCCAGCGTACGAGACGTACTCCCCTGTGGACAGCTGGAACGGCAACGATACGCGGCCCAGGGTCATGACATACATTCGCAAGAACCCGCGTATCTTAGCAGATCAGGCGCGACCAGCACTTAGTCGCGACATACTGTGGGTAACAGTCAACGGAATGACCATCGTAAACTTCTACCGCCAACCCTCTCACGATACCGCACTAAATGTTCTGCTGGGGTGGTCATCACCGAAGAGGTGTGTGGTAGCAGGTGACTTCAACGCCAAACACTACTCCTGGCAGACGGGAAGACTAGAAGACCGGGGGGAAGATATTGCCGTCTGGGCGGCCCAAAACGGTCTCAGTCTGTTGAATACTGCAGATGTGCCCACAAACCCTCACGGCAACACAATCGATCTAGCCTTCTCCAACATTGCTCTGGCAGCCGCCGCCGTCGAAGATCACCTTGCCACTAGCTCTGACCATTTCACCCTCTGCCTCACGCTGCCGGATATTACCCTCACCCTCCCACAAGTGCCAGGCAAGATCCGGGTCACCACCGAAGACGAACTGCGGCGCTTTAGGGAACTCGTTCTGACGGGAATATGGCGAATACCACAAGGCAATGCAACAGCCCTGGAGCTAGACAATCTGGCCGCGGCATTGGTTGACCTTCTTCAGTCGGCAGCCACTGCCGCCGGACGCCCAGTCAGGAAAGGGACCCGGAGTGCGCCATGGTGGACCGAGGAATGTGCCGGCGCAGCTGCGGAGTACCGGGCCATCAGGAGGATTTTCCCACTGGGCTTCAATCGGGACATTCAACTTGCAAGAAAAGAGTTCCAACGTGTAGTTCGCCGCGCCAAGCGTCAGTACTGGCGCAACCTCATCGACGGATTTTCAGACAGCGCATCAGTCTTTAAGGCAGTCCGATGGCTCAAGGCCCCGGGAGCCTTCCAACCACCACCGCTCCAGGTGGGTGACATTGTGTACGAAACTCAAATCGACAAAGCAAACGCTCTGAGACGCTGCACGCTGGAGCGCCGCACAGCAGCAGATGACATTCCAGATCCATGGATTCCAGTCAGTCCATCTCGTGCGATACCCTTTGGCCAAGAAATCACACTCCAGGAAGTGGAGGATGCTACTATCAAGACGGGGAACACGTCACCCGGAGCTGACAACATCACGGTCAAGCTGCTACAAGCAGTATGGGACATCATAGGAGACCACGTCCAACGCCTCTACGAGGGTTGCCTGGCGGCAGGCCACCACCCGAAAGCCTTTAGAGAAGCAGAAGTAGTCATGATCCCTAAATCGGGGAAAAGAAACCTCTCAAAGCCCAGGGCGTGGCGCCCCATCTCACTCCTCTCCTGTCTTGGCAAGGGTCTCGAGCGTCTTATCGCTCGCCGTCTAGCATGGGCTTCGATAAACTACGGAGTCCTCCACCCGCAGCAGGCTGGGGCTCTCCCAAAAAGATCGGCTGTTGACTTGGTCGCAGCAGTGGTTCACGACATCGAAGGGACACTCGCACGTGGACAGGTGGCCACACTGGTCACTGCCGACATTCAAGGAGCGTTCGACTCGGCTCTCTGCAACCGCCTCGTTTTGCGACTCCGTCAACAGGGCTGGCCCGACAATCTTGCACGATGGGCAGGCTCGTTCATGAGCGGCCGTTCCGCCAGGGTAAGATATCAGGACATCACCACACCGACGACGCCACTGCAGTGTGGCCTTCCACAAGGGTCGCCCGTATCCCCGATCTTGTTTCTGTTGTACACGGAGCCGGTCTATCGCTTGGGCGAACCCGAGCGACGGTTCGGCTACGCGGACGATACAGCAATTCTCTGCACAGGGGACACTGTGGGAGAGACAGCCAGAAAAGCGTCGGCGTATATTCAAGAGCTCGTGGATTGGGGCGCCGCCAACGGCGTTTCATTTGACCCGGACAAAACAGAAGTTATGCATTTTTCATTGAAGACACGAGAAGCCAGGCCGCCCATCCGGCATGGCGACGCGGTAAAGCACCCGGAAAAGGCCATGCGCTGGCTGGGAATCTGGCTTGACAGCAAACTAACATTCAAGGCCCATGTTGAGAAGTGGACAGCCACGGCTCAGGCTGTGGCCTGCCACCTGCGGAGCTTAGGCAATACACGACGTGGTCCCTTGCCGAGCGCTCTACAAAGGGCTGTTAGAGCCTGTGTCGAACCAGTCCTGCTGTTTGGAACGGAAGCCTGGTACCCGGGCACACGGAGCCCGCGCTGGAGACAGCCAGCGAAAGAAAGATCGTCCCGAATCCAACAGCTTGTGAAGAAAATGACCAAGGCTATCAAACAAGCCATCCGCGCTATTCTCCCGACTTGGAAGACGACACCAACCACAATTCTGCACCGGGAAAGCGGCATACCGCCGATTCTTCAACTGCTCGAGGCGAAACGACTGCGTTTCTCTGCCCGTATCAAGTCCTTGGATAAAGAACATCCTCTAGCAAAACGCACCGCCGAGGTGACGCCACCGCCCATTATCAAAAGTATTAAGTTGAGGTACCAGCGTCCACCCAAAACCTTCCCAACTCGACTCCGAAGAACCGACAGGCTGCTCGCAAATTGCCAACGGCCTGCACTGCTCCCGCGTAGATACCACTCCGAGACACAGCAGCCGCTACAGACTGCATCCAAAGAAGACTCCGCCGAGGACTTCGACAAGTGGCTCCAATCCATCCCCCCATCTACACTAGTTGTATACTCAGACGGCTCACTGTCCGAGAAGGGCGCTGCCGGATACGGCTATGCCGTTCACCAACGTGATCACTCCATTTGTCAAGGCGCAGGACGCCTCGGCCCTGCCGAGGTGTTTGATGCTGAGGCCAGAGGAGCTCTGGAAGGCCTGAAGGCCGCGCTGAGATTGCCCCAATCCGCTTCACAGAATATAGTTGTCTGCCTCGACAACATTGCAGCCGCCAGATGCCTCCGAGGCCACCCCTCGGACTCTTCACAACGAGTCTTCCTCACTTTCCAAGCCTTGGCGAAGACTCACAGACAAACCGAAGTCCGCTGGATACCCGGACACACGAAAATTGCAGGAAACGAGCAGGCTGACGTGCTGGCGAAAGCAGGCTGCTCCCGACCAGAGCCCGTAGACGCTGTCCCAACACTGGCCTTCTTGCGTAGAACCGCCAAACAGCGGTCCAAAGACGTAGTCCAAGCCTGGTGGGATGTCTCTGCCCCTGACAAGTATAAGACTTTGAACCTCCAATTCCCTTGTGGTTGCCCAGAGGAGCTTTCTCTCCCACGCACAACCCTCCATCACCTGATCGCATCGAGAACCCACCACGGAGACTTTGCCGACTATCATGAAAGATTCAAGCACGACGATGCACAACTGACATGCACTTGCGGCCGACGAAAGGCGCCCACTCACCTCTTCTACTGCAGGAAGATCCAACTGCGTCATCGGATGAGGCTAGCACCCTCACCGACCGCGGTGATCAACCGAGCAATAGGCAAAGACTTTGACAAATTCGTCAAGCTGGGGAAAGCAAGTTCCTTTTTCGAGAGGATTTGCCTTCGCCACTAGGCGATGTTTTCAATCATGGCATCTTCATGCCAACTTTTCCTTTGTTCTTGCTTCATAGGCTGCGGTTGGCGGAAGGTGGACTCAACACCTTTTTGTCCGCGCACGCCGCCCCTGATCACTGTAGACCTGCGGACTACCAAAAACATGACCTGCACAACCCGCTGACGGGTATCAGAGTTAGAATGTGAGCGCCTTTGAGCTGACGCAATGCTAGATAGTGTTTTGTTTACGTTGCAATGGGTCCCGTCTAAGGATGAGACCCGTAGTTTGTAGATTAGTCACTAGCCTAGCACGTCCCGTGCCCCGCGTAGGGGACCTGAGTGGCCTATGGCCACTGGACGGAAAATACACTACTACTACTACTTCACCATCATCACACCGCGCGCATGCCATCTATGACTGCTATGGCAGTCCACGCAAAACTCTCCAATCTGTGTCGTAACATCTGAACATCCCGCTGACGGGAACAGATTTGCTTGTAAGCGCCTTCGAGCTGTCGCAATGTTAGATAGTGCTCTGTTTATATTGTATGTGTGGTTCGCGACCGCAACAAATTTTGTAAATTAACACTAGCCTAGCACGTCTTGTGCCCCGCGTAGGGGACCTGAGCAGCCAATGGCCGCTGGACGGAAAATACACTCACTCACTCACTCAATCAATTAAACCTCAATACCGCTCGCCAAGATGGATTGACGAATTAGGTAATCAGGCCTGCTGTTGATTGAGTTGAATTGACGTCGCTGGTCAATCAACTCAACTCTGTTGAATAACGTTGAGTGGTTCCCGCCCTTGTCCGGGCCTATGAGCCTGTTGAACTCTCTCAGTAACTCCTGTCGCCGTCGATCAGATTGCATTTTCTGAACTGTATCCGTCAGATAGTGATTCAGAGTAATTGGGTGGCCGTCATAGTGTGGTTTCAACAGTTCCTGCATTTTCCTATGGAGTCTGCACTTTAGCGGCTCCATTGCAGCAGTGATGGTCTGGGATATTTCTTTCACAGAGTCTTGGGCGGCGACATGCTCAACTATATCGTGTGTCACCTCGTGTACAACTTGTAGGATTCGCTGTTCTACTGCTGCGGCAATATTTTCCCAAGGCTGGCACTGCTCGGCGAAGAGCTCCGAAATGACCAAAGGATTGAAAGTCCCCGGGAGCTCACGACCTCTGCTTCGCTTCATGAGTTGTTTAACTTCGTCAATATAATCAGAGCGGCAAATTCAAGGTCTTATGTCTTCGCCGTCTGTTGGCGGCGAATCGACGATGACTCGGTCCTGGCCATTTACTCGCATCTCCTGTTCGAACTCGGTCAAAGTATTCTGTACGCGCGCTCTTAGACGCTTTCGATATCCATCCTCCGATTTGGACGTGCCAAAAAAAGGATGATTGTACTCCCCGTCAACTGCGGCCTTCATGAGCAAGGAGAATTCGCGGCTTACTTGCAACAGATACCGGCGTCGTTCTCCAGCAGTCGTACGAGGTGATCCAAGCCGTTGGAGCTGAGTCTTACAAGCGAAAATTTCTGACCACATCATTGAGACTAGGGAGCTGAAGCAAGATCTGGTCCTTCAAAACATTGCTCAGTCGGGGCTTCAATGACTTAACGCCCAGTTGCTCCGGATTCATGGTGGCCCAGATTCCCGACTCGAAAAAATCTCTCCTCTGCCTCGTCACGTTCGGCAGAGGTCGCGTCTCTCATCTTGTAGTCCCTGTTCTTCAGAATATGCCAGCCGAGTCGAAATGCGACGTCCTTATTTTCAGCCAGCTTCACGTACGCGGCGTCATTGTCAGACCCGGCGTCCAAAGCGTCCGGTTTTGTTATGAGGCTCAAAGTCCGGTTTTGTTATGAGGCTCAAAGTCCGGTTACCCTTTGGGTCGAGCTCACGGGCCATTTCGGTGATTTCTTGAAGAGCAAAATCGCTCCTGTACCCTGTCGGAGCGCGAAGCGGTGGCCCCACTATGGAGACAAACCAGTTGCCTGGGCAGCAACGGCATGGGGGGACGTGCCATCGCCCAACAAACTACGTGAATCCGAACCTCACCCACAACAGGACGAATTAATGCCGTTTGAGATCTTTGCAGACAGACACCAGCATGGAACGAATGGAAGCACTACTGCATGAGGCTCAGCTGCGGCTTGAAGAGGCTGAAAGACGCTTCAATGAAGAAAAACAACAACGTGAAGCAGCAGAGCAGAGAGCACAGGCATCCGAGCAGCAGACGCAACCCACAACCTTGAGCGAATACCTCGACGCATGTCATCGGTTAGTCTTCGCTAAACTTCATGTGGAACACAATCCCGACCGGTTATCACGAGGTTCTTTGACCAATCCGCAAAGCAAGCGATGTCCCACCAACCTGCGGCAATGGCCAGACTTCCTGGAGCAGCAAAGGCGCATATTTGGCCTCCTCCTCGACACCTTTCCTTGCGATTCGGATCGGCTCTTCGAGAGCGAGCACTTTCTAACAACCATGGGCGCCAGAATCGGCGGACGAACCATCGCGGACGAGAAAGTCCTAGAGTTCTTCTTGCACAACGCTGTTGAGGATCCTGTGAGGAATATCATCAATCAGCTTGTCAATATACCAGCCGTCAGGAAGGCATTTGATCTTGGCAACGGCATCGTCTTCGAGAACCACCCTCATGCGCTGAGTGAAACCGCAGAAGAGGTGATCGACAGGCAGGCGCGTACAGTACCACCGAGCACGCCGGGACACGGAGAGAACCTGAGGAAACTACAGGCGGACCAGATCTGTATCTACCGCTCCGACGACGCCCAAGGGGATCGGACGAGGGCCTTCATCTGCGAGTACAAGCCGCCGCACAAGTTGACAGCCCAACATCTACATGTCGGCTTGCGCGTCACGGATATCTACAAAGAGGTCGTAAACCGGAAGACGATACCGACTTCAGAAGACCCAGAGGCGCTCTTCGCATACCACGCCGAAAGGCTGACCGCGTCAGCGATCACGCAAACGTACCATTACATGATCGAAGGTGGCCTCGAGAAAAGCCTCTTGACAACCGGCGAGGCCATCGTGTTCTTCAAGATTGATTGGAAGGATCCAGAGACACTTTATTACCACTTGGCGGTGCCGAGCGCCGAAGTTGCTGCCCAATCGAAGGACGCGCATCTTTGTACAGCCGTCGCTCAGTATCTGGCCTTCACATTGCTAGCCATCGACGGGTTAGGAACGCGGTCGCACGGCCAGGATGAACGCGACCGGGCTACCAAGAAGCTGAACAAATGGGAGGTGTCATTTGACCTGACATACCGGTCAATCCCCGAAGAGGACCGGTCCTTTCTCTCAGACAGCTCGCCGGGCTACCAACCCCCTACATACGGCAACATAGATCGGTCACCGATTCGTCCACGAAAAAACCCGCGACGCGGTCAAGGGGACGCCGATGCCGGCATCCAGCCCTCGAAACGGGACGACTCGGGCTCCTCGTCGGATGAGGAGCCCAATCCAAGAGCGCCGACCACCCCAACGCCCCCCCAACGAACGCAAGAAGGAGCCCGACGTAGTGCGCGCCTAGCTATGCGACCACGAGGCGGCAGCGTCGATAACAGCGGGCAACGCCGACAGTTCTGCACCCAGAAGTGCCTTCTTGGTCTGGTCCGAGGACATGCTCTGGACCAGAGCTGCCCAAACGCTGCGCTTCACCGCCAAGGGGCGACGTTGCATCATTGCGCAACCCTCCGCCACCCTGTCAACCACGCACAGTGGTTGAACCTGCTCCGTGCACAACTAGAGAAGACACTCGACGGCGGCATCACGCCCCTCAAACAGAGCGGCGCTCGCTGTGTGCTTTTCAAGGTAACATTACTTGCTTATGGATACACGTTTGTGAGCAAGGGCACAATCCGGGCTTTTATCCCCGATCTCGAACACGAAGCTGCCGTCTATCGACGCTTGGATGATCTACAGGGTGTCATTGTGCCAGTGTTCCTCGGCGCCATCGATCTGCGATCCATGAACAAAACATACTTTTTGGACCTCAGAGTGTACATAGTGCACCTGACATTCCTGGCATGGGGCGGGGAAAGTCTCTATGAGGCACAAGGGGCTGCGTATATCACGGAGCAGCAAGTTAAAGGCAGCTTGCGTGCCATACATCAGCATGGTGTGATACATAACGATGTGCGAGCTGAGAACATCCTGCTCTGTCGGGAAACCAACGAGGTGATGATGATTGATTTCGAGCGGGCAGTGCTATTGCAACCGCCACGACCTCCCCTCGCAACGATGACGCCGAACAAGCGTCTCTTACTGCAAGACACACCCCGCGAGCGAAAGCGTCACAAATCGCGTCGGATGACGAGATGCTTTGCGGAGGACATTTTGATGGCGAGTGGTCTTTTCGTCACCACCAATACGTAGGTCTCGGACACGTCTAACAAAAGTTTGACTAAGTGATGATGGATGGGTGGACTGGGAGATTCCTACCATTGGACAGGGACCCGGTGGATTTCAAGGGAGAACAACACATGATTTTGAGGAGACGAAAGGATGCAGAAATCATACATCCTTTCATTCAAGGCTTGGTCAAGTCCGTCACAGCTGACATTTTCCAATGCCCGGCATCCGCAAGCCAGGCTCCTATATCGGACGAATGGAAGGTCATACTCCATTCAGTACCACCACATTCTACTACGCGGTATGATGCGGACGTAGGATTCAGTTAGGTAATTTTCATCGAGCAGCCCCTGACTTCCACTCGGAGACCCTCGAATCATCGCCGTATATGAAGTCGACCAAACTGATTAGCCATTGCGAAGGGCAAAGGAACTTGTCTGATTTCATCAGCATGTTTGACTGCCCGGCCTACCTTTGTAATTATGTAACACCCTGGTCGCCCCAAAGCACCAAAACAGGATATATTGCTGTCATAAACCCATACAAGCATCGGAAAGTGAGTGCATTTTTTTGATCGCACGACGAGGTTGGCCGATGATCTTGGCATGCCGCGACCAGAATATGCCACCTACAAGTTTTGG